ATATTAATAATATAATTATTTACCAAAATATTTTATTTTGAAGTAAAATTTCATATCATGAATTTTGAGAAAAAATGTGTCAGGGATAGACTTTAGTAAGTAAAAGAGTACCAAATAAATGAGATTTGGGTATTCACTGTTGGGTAATCACTCAGTACAATCCAATTTCGGTTATTTCCTTCCCCCTTACGGACACCCTTCCTGGCTTACATTTCAGTTTGTGTGGAAAACAAATCTCTAACTTGAATTATATTTCTTCCATATGAAAAATAAAACTGAACCCATACTATTCATAACTCCTGTTGAAAGAATTTCAATGTAAAATTATGTATGATTTTTAAATCACATTAGAATAGTAAGCATTTCAAATATTGTCTTTTTTTTTTATTTCAAAATTACATTTGTTACCCCTTGATTAAAGCAATATCATGTGAGGTTATTTAAAAAATTTATTTTATGATAATTCTTTTTTTTTCTCTAATGTTGCTCATAATTTGTTTGTATATCTGAAAAATAAATTAATTTTAATTTTGATTTTCCTACATATCTTTAGTCTCACTGGAGTTCTGCAATATATATTTCTGTGTCATTTTCATTGTTTTATGTGAATCTGCAATTTAGATTTTCAATCATCCTGTCTTACTTTTAGCTGAAACTCTACAAGGCTTAGAAAAAAACATAAAATCTCTTGTTGAGGCATTAAATAAGGTAGATTGTTCCGTTACATCAGTTAAATCAGCCTGTGAACTTTTCATGCGATTTATTACACTTACATCCTTGGATCATAGTGTAAGTATTAGCTTACTTTTTGTTCATCCATCATCAACATTAATTTGTATTATAAAGTGGATATTTTTTATCTACAATTTCAACCATGACATTGAAATATAAAATTTTACTTTAATTTAGTTTATTATGCTTTCTACATTTCTTTCATCATATTTTATATTTCGTTGTCATAATTTTTGCCTCTTTAGTCAATATAATAAACCTTAAAAATTAAAGTTGTCTCATAATTCTGAAACACAGGAAAACTCTGTTATATTTTCTGTTAGAACTTATTAAATCCAGACAACTTTGGCATCCAGCTTGAACTCGTTATTGAATTCTATTTAAGTCTATCTTCATAAATTTGAAATTGTTATAGTGTTAATATATACACAATCTAGTGTTCCCACCATATTTTTATCTTACTTATTAAACTTCAAAAATATTTTATGAGGACAAAGAATATTAAAAATAAATGTATTTTATAAAAGAAATGTTTAGAGGAAGACTTTTGTTCCGGATCCTTATAAGTTTTTTTATTAAAACTAGTAGTTTTTTTTAGAATGTGATGTATTCAAATAGTGTTGCCAAATTAGATAAATTTCTACGATTTTGGGCGCGCATAAGACAAATGTGTGTTTATATACGTATATATATATACATTATTTTCTATTATATTTTGTATGGTTAAATGGTGGATATTGACTTAGTCAAGTTTGGTTTGTATCATGTTGTAGTGCTGATTAAAAAGACGAATACACATGCTGAATTTTTTTTTATATACTTTGTATCATCTTAAGAAAAGTTTCTAATAAAAATAGGTTAATAATTTGTTATACAAAGGAATAGGCAAATATGTTTTGTTTAAAATAAGCAAATTTAAAGTTTTTTTACAATTGTGAATAATTATTTGAAACTGCAATACAAAACTGATAATTTACCATGTAAATAAAAGTTATTTATTCATCCAATATTTTGGCCTTTATATTTGCTACAAATAGTAAATGATAAGCTATACAAGACCTAATTCTTTTCAATTCATAGTTATTGCACATTTTCCCAAGTTCCTTTTAGGTGAATATGTTTCTATTTCTTATTACGTTTTCTTTTTTCTTTTCAAAGGATTTTGAGGAGTGCAAAAAAGTTTTATCTCAAAGAGGAACTGTTTTTCTAAATAGGCTTTCAAATGCTAGACATAAGATAGCAAAAGCTGGCCAATCTTTCATTGTTGACGATATAGTAAGTACAATATTTCATGAGCAATAAAAAATAGTGCAAATAAATTATTATAAATAATTTATAATATATTAATTTCTTGTTAAAAATTTTTGCAATTTTAAAAATAATTTTCATAATTTCTTTGTTTTTATTTAATTTCAATATTTCCTAAAGGGATATTCGAATATGTTGCAAGCTGTTTGAGTGTACTTTTCTTTACCAATAAATTGAACAAATAATGAAAATAAGGAGGAATTCAAAGAGGTGATAAATAATTGTAATAAATGTGTAACATATTAATTTATTGAGTGCATTTTTTTATAATTTTAAAAATAGCATTTCATTTCTTTCTTTTTATTTTAATATTTTCTGGAAGTTTTTTCAAATATTTTGTTTATAGTTTGTATGTGACTTATTTTACTTAAAAATTGACCAAATGTTTAAGAAATAATGGAGCAAAATTATTTACATATAACAAGATTTTAATAAGCCTTTTTGCAAGGGAAATGATTCAAGAACGACTAACTATTCTTTTAACATAACATACTTTTTAGCTTATTTGAATTGTAGTTATTTGATTTGTATTTGATTTTTTAAAATTTCTTTTATCATATACAGTGAAACCTCAATATCTCAAACTTGAAAGGAGAGGAGAAAAAACTCGAGATTCGCATGTTATCATTGGTAGAATAAAGAAAAATGCTCTTTACATACCCTATTTACTATTCCATATTTATTCTAAGAACACATTTTATACTTTCATTTAAAAAAAGATTCAATTGTTGTTTGCTTTAGAGATGTGTAAGAAAGTTTGTCTATAGCACTTTCTAAGTGGACTATAGCTTTAAATGTGTCCTCTGACATATTCGACTACCTCTCAATAAATCTCCTTGCAGTGTCCACTGCAGAAAGTGCTTATTTGTTAGTAACATTGGTCAGTAAATCTTCGATTTCCTCATCCTCTTTTTCTGATAGTTCACAAGAAGCTTTTGTTTGAGCGATGATATCATTGTCATCCCACTGACCACACACTGTTACTGCATCATCTACATTTACAAAGTCATGAAATCCCATGTCATCAAGCTTCATCAGTCCGGTCAGTCTGTTACAATCATTTTTGGTGTAGTTTTCAGCAGAATTAACGATATTGATTGTTAGACTACTTTCGTGATCTTTAATGAATCTAGACTTCTTGAAGTCATTCATTATGGTAGAGGAAGACACATCATTCCATGCCTTGCCAGCCATTCTTGAATTTTTAAATTTTTTTTGTAATATTTTTTTTAATTTTAGAAAAAAAATCTATACTATTTATGGAAAAAAATTAAAGTTATCGTGGGATTGGAAAAAAAAATTCGTGAAATCAAGTTTTTTTTAACATTGACCCTATAGGAAATTTGAAGGGAATTTTTTTTCTTCGAGATAAATTCGTAAAATCGAGGTTTGAGTTAGCAAGATTCGACTGTATTAATGTTTTTACATTTTATAATTTGCCATTATTCTCTGTTCTGTGGCTATTTAATTATGTAAATGATTTATATATTTGTTGCTTTTTTTATTATGTCTTTATTAACAGGGTTGCCACTCTACGGGGAGAACAGGGAAAACCTGGCAAATGCAGGGAATTTAAAAATCACCTAAAATAACAGAGAAAATGCAAAGAATTTTGATTTTTTCTTTACAAACTGGGAAAATACAGGGAATTTTGTTTCTCGTTTTTGTCTTTTAAAAAATGGTGATCACTCAAAGCGTAACCTATAGAAAATTTAACCATATTTTAACTTTACTAAACTGTTTCATTTACTACAGGAATGAGATTCTTCCGCGGATTCGCGGATTTCCGCTTTTTTTCAGATTTTTCCATTTTTCCCGCTAATTTCCGCTGAAATTTTTTTTGCCCAAGTTAAAATGTTTTATGAGGAATTTAATTTTCCGCGGAGGGAAATTGTTGAAGTCCCTTTTCCTCCCTCTGAAGTTTCTCTAAAAATCATTTCCTTGGGATAAAACTGGTTGACCTTTATACAGGGATGAGATTTTTTTTGTCTCTCGAATTTCAGCCTTTTTATCAAAAACTCCGATTCTCTAAAAGTTTCGTTTTTTTAAATAAATATCCCGTTTTTTTTTAAAATTCAGTCATTGAAGTAAAATAATTATATTTATTTACGATTTTCAAAGATAAACAGAAAATTCAATCT